GTTGATCACATGTGTAAATAAATGAAGATAGTGGGAGCTGGGTTTCTTGCTGGCGGAGCAGGGACGGGGATATGGAAGGGGGAAAACTAGCATGGCCACTACAGCAGTGGGTGGGAACCGGAGGTATCGGTGTGAACACGTGATTCTCAACAGGTGGTCAGAGCGATGGAAATAAGGACAGGTGTGGTGTGTGTATGCCCAAACAGTGTTGAGCATGCAGATGCTGGCGTCTGAGCACCATTAGCCATTAAAAGGAACCAGGGTTCCTTGAAGAAATAATAATGTATTGGTTTGCTAGGGCCTCCATAACAAAGTGCCACAGAGTGGGTGTTTAAACAACAGAAATCGATTGTCTTACAGTTCTGGAAGCCAGAATTCCAAGATCAACGTGTTGGCAGAATCAGTTCCTTCTGAGGGCTGTGCTGTGTGGTCCAAATGTTTGTGTCCTCTCAAAATTCATGTGTTGAAATCCTAGTTCCTAAAGTGATGGTGTCACGAGGTGAGGCCTTCGGGAGGTGATTAGGTCATGAGGGAGGAGCTCTCATAAGTGACATTAGTGCCCTTAGAAAAGAGACCCCAGAGAGACCCTCACCCTTTCTGCCATCTGAGGTCCCTCTAGTGCACAGCACTGGGTGGCGTGGGATGAGCAACAATCATGTGGGACCTCAGAGCCGGGTTTTGCTCCACCCCGTCTGATACTGACCCTTTGCCCACTCGGCTCCCTCCCCCGGGCGGCCCCCCTCCCACTCTCCACTCCGCACCCCGCCCTCCAGCTGAAAGCCAGCTGACCCTTCATGGTTGAATGATGCAGGAATGAATGGATGAGTGAAGGCACGAATGAGCAATCAGAGACCCAGCTTTCCGCCCCAAGCAGGAAGCAGCTCCCAGAACACTCCGCTCTCCCATCTTTTATGAACCGGATAGCATCAGTCTTATCTCTTTTACCAGACTGTAAATTTCCCAAACACAAACAGCAGACCTGACTCATGAGGATATCCCCCACTGTGAGGGAACTCGCTCTTACTGAACTTATTCTCTGTGCCAGGGACTTTATGTGCCTTGTGTCACTGAGTTCTCACAATGACACATTAAAGTAGGAGTTATTATTACCAACCCATGGAGGAAGGAGCAGGTTCATGTGTACAAAGTGCTTTGCTCAAGGCCAAGATGGAAGGAGGAGGAGTGAAGGCGTAAACCCAGGACGTCAAGCCACCGAGGAACATGTGAATACTCTATAGACCTGGCATTACGTGGGGAGGCAGCTTTGTAGTTCCCTTTTTCACAGTGTGAGAAATATGCTTTTATTGGGATATTAGCAAAGGGACATGAAATGTAGAGGTGGTGCCCCTAGGGGAGTGGGAGAAAGAAAGGGAAGGAGGGAGCTGCCGTCAGGGAAGGCCAGGAAAATTTGGGGGTGGGGGGCCTTAAGATGGGGGCAGGCAGACTGGGATGCCGGTTAGGCCCATCCATTCAGCAGCTGCTAACTGAGCACCAGCTGCATGTCAGGCATGGTGCCGGGTGCTGGGTATGTGGCAGGGCATAAGACAAAGTCCCTGTCCTCGGGGAGCTGACCTCCAGTGGGGAGACAGCCAATGACCAAGGCAAGTGAGTACACTGCAGGGTGTGCGGGGCTGTGGAGAAGAGGAGAGTGAGAAGGGAGATGAAACTGTTGGGAGAGCTGGAGGCTGGGGGACGCTTGAGCAGGACCTGAGGAGGTGAGGGAAGGAGCTGGTACAGGCCTGGGGTGGGGACGCCCCGAGCTGCAGGGTGAGCTGGCATGCTTGAGACACGAGGATGTGGATGGAGGAGAGGGACGGAGGCGAGGGCAGAGAGCCAGAGGGGGCGCTGGTCACGGGAGTGTGGTTTACAAAGTCAGTGTGCACTTCGGCTTTGACTCTGCATGAGATGGGAGGCTCCATACGGCTTTGAGCAGAGAAGGAGCGAGACAGGATTTAGGTTTTCGTAGAATCCCTGTGGCTGCATGTGGGGAAGAGACGGCAGGGACAAGACGGCAGCGGTAAGGAGACCAGTGAACGGTGACCAGGACTGGAGGCGATGGTGCTCACAGCAGGGGACTCCAGTTCCCCAGAACTGGAACAACCCAGAAGTCCATCAAATTGTGACAAATCCACTGTGACCATGGGCTGTTTCTCAGCAGTAAAAAGGACAAGCTACTGACCATGCAGTACATGGATGAATCTCAAAATAATTATGCTCAGTAAAAAAAGCCAGACAAAAGCCCTGTGTGGCTCCATTTGTATAAAAGAGTAGAAAATGGAAACTCACCTGTAGTGCTGGGAAGCAGATCAGTGGTTGCCCGGGGTGGAGGGGGGCAGAGGAAGCGACAGGACGCTGGGTGGAAGGGGCACAAGGAAACGCTGGGGCTGAAGGGCATGTTCCTTATCTTGATTACAGGGATGGTCTTACAGGTGTACCTGCACTTTTAAAAACTCATCAAGTTGTACACTTTGTATACAGTAGTCTCCCCTTATCTGGGGCTTTGCTTTCTGCGGTTTCAGTCACCATGGTCAACTACGGTTCAAAAACAGGCGAGCCCAGCACAATAAGATATTTTGAGAGAGAGAGCGAGAGAGGAACCACATTTACATAACTTTTATTAAGTACATTGTTATAATTTTCCTATTTTATTATTAGTTATTGTTGTTAATCTCCTACTGTGCCTAATTTATAAATTAAACTTTATCATAGGTACGTATATGTAGGAAAAAACATAGTACATATAGAGTTCTGTACTATCGGAGGTTTCAGGCATCCTCGGGGAGTCTTGGAGCATATCCCCCATGGATGAGGGGGGACTACTGTATGCAGTTTATAAAAACACAGCTCCCAGAATGGGGAAAATACTTGTAAATCATATATCTAATAAGAGATTCCTACCCAGAATATACAGAGAACTCCTAAAACTCAACAGCAAACAAACAACCCGATTAAAAAATGGGAAAAGGACTTGAATAGACATCTCTCTAAAGAACATATACGAATGGCCAATAAGCACATGCAAAGATGCTCAGCATCACTAGTCATCAGGGAAATGCAAATCAAACTAAAATGAGATACTACCTCACACCCATCAGGATGGCTACTATCAAAGAAGAAACAGAAAATAACAATGTTGCCAGGGATGTGGAGAAATTGAAACTCTTGTGCATTGTTGGTGGGAATTTTAAATGATGCAGCTACTACGTAAAACAGTATGGCAGTTCCTCAAAAAATGAAAAATGGAATTACCATATGATGCAGCAATTCCACTTCTGGGTATGCACCCAAAAGAATTGAAACCAGAGTCTCAAAGGGATATTCATCCACCCATGTTCATAGGAGCATTATTCACAATAGCTAAAACATGAAAGCAACCCAAGTGTCCACCAACAGATGACCAGATAAGCCACATGTGGTACATCCATACAATGGAATGTTACTTAGCCTGAAAAAGCAAAGAAATTCTGACATATACTACAAAATGGATGAACCTTGAGGACATGATGCTAAGCAAAATAAGCCAGTTGCAAAAAGACAAATACTGTATGATTCCACTTGTATGAGGTAGTCGGACTCCTACAGACAGAAAGTAGAATGGTGGGGCCGGCCCGGTGGTGCACTGCTATAGTGCACCGCTTGGGAGCACGGCGGCGCTCCCGCCGAGGGTTCGGATCCCACATACAGACCGGTTCCCGCTCACTGGCTGAGCGAGGTGTAGGCACAGCACTGAGGGTTGCAATCCCGTTGCCGGTCCCGGTCCGGTACGGGCGCGACACTGAGGGTTGCGATCCGTTGCTGGACACGAAAAAAGACAAAAAAAGGAAGAAAAAAAAAAAAAAAAGAAAGAAAGTAAAATGGTGGTTGCCAGGGGTTGGGAGAGGGGGGATGGGGAGTTATTCTTTAATGGGTGCAGAGTTTCAATTTTACAAGATGAAAAAAGCTGTGGAGATGGGTGGTGATGATGGTTGCACAACATCATGAATGTATTTAATTCCACTGAGCTGTACACTTAAAAATGGTTAAGGTGGTAATTTTTACGTTGTGTGTATTTTACCACAATAAAAAATAATAAATTGAAAATATATATGTAGCTTATTCTATGTCAATGACACCTCAAAATGCTGTAAGAAGGCAAATAAAAATATTAACAGGTGATCAGATTCTGTAGATACTCAGGTAGGGGCAGCAGGGTTTGTTGGGTGTAAGGGAAGGTGAGGAGTTGAGGTGACCATGAAGTGTAGGAAGGCTGAGGGTGACAATATGAGTGGCAGGGACAGGAGACACAGGGAAGTGGAGATGACAAAGTCTGAGTTCCCATGTGGGGCTTGAAGGGCCTGTGGGTCTGCACATGACAACATGCAGGAGATAGTTGCACGGATTGTTCTGGGCCTCAGAAAGGAGTTGGGGACAAAAGAAAAACATTTGGGAATCATGGAGCAGGAGGCAGTGGTACGCTGGTCAACTAGCTCTGAAAAAAATTTAAAGTCCTGTTTGTGTTTTTCCATTCCCATGGTGTAAAGTTCAAGCTACCAATGGCTTAACCACTGGCTCTCATTCCTGAATATTTAACAGCTCAAGCAAGGTGGTGTGAGCCAGCTCCAGCAGCCAGTGCAGGGGGCGGAGGTGGTAATACTCCCAATAATTAACATCTGGCAAGCACCTACTGGGCCTCAACTGCATCACCTGCACTGTCTCATTCAATCATCACAACAAAGGAGAAAACAGAGACTCAGAGGTGCTTTGCTCAAAGTCACAGCCAAGTGGAGAGCAAGTGGAGAGTCCAAGAGTTGAACCCAGTCAGACAGACTAGACCACACCAGTCTCGATCACTTGATCACTGTGCCCCAGACACTGCTTTTACTGAGGTCACCACCCACCAGGCACTGCTCTCAGAGTGTTCATCCTCATAACGATTCTACGAGGTAGAGTCTATTATTATTCCCATTTTACGGATGAGGAAACTGAGGTTAGAAAGGCCCATAGCTTGCCTAATGGCTCACAGCTGGCTAGTGGTGAAGGCAGGACTTGCACCCAGGAGGCGCGTGCCCACGGCTGTGCCCTCCAGCCATGGGCTGTATCGCCAGCAGGCCGCTGACACATCGTCTCCCCCAAGCTCAAAGGCTCTGTCCTCCATGCTTCACTCAGTTCAGATCATTGAATCTTTACTGAGAAGCTGAGCTCAGTGGCTTCAACAATAACCACTTTTATCATGCTTTTATTCCGCCTATATTACGTCATCAATGGTTCCCCACATAGTTAAATTCATCTAGGAACCCCAGATTTTAATGGCTGAGTGTTTGTTCCAGTTGAGACAATTGGGATGACAGATACTAGCAAAGGGGAGTGATGAGGCTGGGGAAAGGGCTGGGGAGTTAGATGCTGGGGGATGGCAGTGGATGTGGCTCAGGAGGTCATGAGGGGGGAAAGCTCAGAGCCTCCGTGTGGCCAGAGCCTTCCAGTCAGGACCCCCCAGCACACTGAAAGGAGGGGCTGTGTCTGCACTGACTCACAGTTCAAAACAAGGGGTGGGGGGGGACCTGTCTCCCTCTGGGTGTCCAAAAGTATGAGAGAACTTTGGAATTGCGGGCAGCTGTGTTCTGGCCTCTGAGGAGAAAGCCAGTCTGTAAAGAGAGAGAGAAAAGAAAGAATCTGTGGCAGAGAGAGAGAGAGAGAGACCCTAAGCCTCAGCCCCACTCTTATCTTGAAATTCCCTCATAACAAATTTCTCTTTTATCTTAAACTGCTTCAAGTCAGATTCCTGCCATTTAGATCCCAAAAAACATTAAAAGATACACCCACCCTAATGGGGTGCACCCTGCATTTCTTCTCCCAGAGAGAGCATTTTGTCAAAACTAGTTCAGACTCAAGTAACAGGAAAACCCAAAATCAAATGGCCCAACCCATATGGAAGTTTAATTCTCTTTTATATAAAAGGAGTCTGAGCTCTCACCAGTCATCCTCATGAGAGTGACATTGTCTTTAAGCCCCTGGCGTGGCAATCCCTGACGCACAACCGTGATGTCCAGGGATGACAGGGTGACCTGCAAATCCAACTACTTCCTTAAGATCATCCAACTTTTGGATGATTATCTAAAATGCTGCATTGTGGGAGCAGACAACGTGGGCTCCGAGCAGATGCAGCAGATCCGCACATCCCTCGGAGGAAAGGCTGTGGCGCTGATGGGCGAGAAGACCATGATGTGCAAGGCCATCCGAGAGCATCCGGAAAACAACCCAGCTTTGGAGAATCTGTTGCCTCACACCTGGGGCAATGTGGGCTTTGCGTTCACCAAGGAGGACCTCACTGAGATCAGGGACCTGCTGCTGTCCAGTAAGGTGCTAGCTGCTGCCCGTGCTGCTGACACTGCCCCATGTGAAGTCACTGTGCCAGCCCAGAACACTAGTCTGGGGCCCAAGAAGATCTCCTTCTTCCAGGCTTTTGGCATCACCACTAAACTCTCCGGGGGCACCATTGAAATCCTGAGTGACGTGCAGCTGATTAAGACTGGAGACGAAGCAGAGGCCAGCGAAGCCACACTGCTGAGCGTGCTGAACATCTCCCCCTTCTCCTTCGGGCTGTTCATCCAGCAGGCGTTTGACCACGGCAGCCTCTACAACTCCTAAGTGCTTGACCTCACAGAGGATATTCTGCATTCTCGCTTCCTGGAGGGTGTGCACAATGTCACCAGCGTCTGTCTGCAGATTGCTTACCCAACTATTGCATCAGTACCCCATTCTATCATCAGGGGGTACAGCAGGACCTGGCTTTGTCTGTGGAGACTGACTACACCTTCCTACTTGCTGGAAAGGTCAAGGCCTTCTTGGCTGATCCATCTGCATTTGTGGCTGCTGCTCCTGCTGCTGCCACAGCCCCAGCCAAAGTTAAAGAAAAAGAAATAAATGCTTATTTCTCTTAAAAGTCAAATAAGTAAATGGAGTCTGAAGGTAAAGAGACCAGGGCTAATATGGCAGTTTCGTAATAGTTGGGACCTGGCCTGCTTTTATACCTTTTATATCTCTGTCACCTTCGGTACATAATTTGCAGTCCAAGATGGCTGCTGGAGCTCCAGCCATCATATCCACATTCTAGTCGGTAGTGAAAACGAAGAAGGGGTTAGGTAAACTCTCTTTAAGGCCAGTTCCTGGATGTCCCATACAGCACCTCTACATGTACCTATTGGCCAAAATTTAGTTGCATGGCCACACTTAGCTCCAGGAAACCTAGAAAACATAGTATTTTTGTTGGGCTCTCTTGTGTCCATTTAAAAGTCAGGGTTTGTATTACCAAGCAAGAAGGGGGCATGGGTATTAGGAGCATGTCTTCCAAAAGCTTATTCCTTCTGCAGAGATAGTAAACCTTCAGCCCCTGAGGGGGTTTGCTAAACTAAACCTTTATACTAAACCTTCAGCCCCTGAAGGTCTGTTTCTCAACTGAAAAGTTTCCTGACGGATATTTGGAGAACGGATTCCACCAAAAACTTTTTGCAGTGGGCTGGTGGGTGTCATTTGCCTGGGGAGCAGGCACAAAGCCAAGGAGCTGTTAATCTCCTCTTGGAGCCTAGCCTTGTTTCTTCCTCAAAAGAGGAAACTATCCTGGCCGCAGCCAGGGCAAGGTCCCTGCCCTGCCCAGCTGGGAGTTGACACTCATCAATAATCCACGTTTTCCATGTGGCAGCGCTCCGTGGTAAACAGGGAGTGTTTACTTGTGATCCCCAGGAGCTGTAATTAGGTGGGTCCTGATCTTCTGCACTCCCTCCACCCAGAGATGCAAGGCCCTGGCTTGGACCCCTGTCTAGACAAGCCCCCAACCTCCCATTGTCCTCAACCCCAAATACACACTTCCCCCACCAGAGGGCGCCATTCACACAGAGCACTATAAACGCTTCCTCCAAGAAGAGGGGTGTGAATATAGATTGAGCTGCGTCAGCTTCCAGAGAAGAGTGTGGCAAGGTGGAACAGGATGGGGTGGAGCAATAACAACAGCTGCCATTTATCATTCACAGCAAGACAAATTAATGTTACAGCCCAAATGACAGACTCATAGCCAAGCAACGGGAGGCTGGACTGGGAGCTGAGCAGAGGGTGCTCTGGCCTGAGGAGCACGTTCTGAACTATCGGGACTATTCTCTTGGCCGCAGTTGCTAGAATTCTGATTGGCTCTCTAGAAGAGGGGGAGTTGGGGGCTGAGAGCAGAAACCGCGGGTATTCCTTGAACAATTGAAGAAAGCGGAAGTGTGCTCCAAGAAGAGGCAATGGCAGGGGGCAAAGGCACGGCAGTAGCCTTCTCATGGCCACACTGCTGTGCATCATTGGCTTCTCATTGCCCAGCCCATCAGGCAGGCACACGGCTGGGGGAATGACCCTTCCAAAGGCACGGGCTTGATCCCAGCACTCATCCTTGCCTTTCCCACATTCAGTAGCTGAGGTCATCAGGATCGTGTACAGAGGATCATAAATGTATAAGATCATAGGTTCCTAGGTTTAGAGCCCCAAGCTCAGAGCAAGGCTTCTAACCTCCCTTTCACATTGGAACCACCTGAGGAAACTTTTAAAAATACTGATTAACAGATAAGCAAACTGTGGTACACCCATAAATAGAATACAGTTAGCCCTCCTCATCTGCAGACTCGACCAACCTCAGATGAAAAATACTCAGGAAAAAAAATTAGAAATAACAATACAACAATTAAAAAATACAAACGAAAAATAATACAGTGTGACAACTATTTACGTAGGATTTGTGTTGTGTTAGGCATTGTAAGTAACCTACAGATGATTTCATAAGGCATACGCAGGGCTGCGTGGGTTCCATGTGCAAATACCACACTATTTAGTACATATGAGGGACATGAGCATCCAGGGATTTTGGTATCTGCGCGAGTTTCTGGAACCAATGCCCTGCACATACCGAGAGACGACTATACCGCTCTGCAGTACAAAAAGAATGAAGTGTTGTGACATGCGACTAAGTGGCTGACTCTCAGAATCACGCTAAGTGAAATGAGTGCTCCAACTGTACTCAGAAGAGTGCGTTCAGGGTGGTTCTACTGATGAGAAATGCTAAGAATGATAAATCTAATCTTATTTTTTAAAAAACAAATCAGTGATTACTGGGGTGGAAGGATTAACTCCAAAGGGGCACAAAGGAATCTCTTGCGGTAATGAAAACGTTCTATATCTTGTGGCTCATTCACACAGCTGCTGGCAAGAGGCCTCAGCTCCCCACCACGCAGACCTCTCCACACGGCTGCTCTTAAGCATGAGGAAAAACAGAGAAGAACTTGAGGGCTGTGGATTTTGATTGGGCAGCCAGGTGCCCACCACAGATGTGGGAGGCTGGGGAGACTGGCAGAGGCTGCTGCGGAGGCTCCTGTGCCATCCACCCCTCCCGGCTTCCTCGCTGTGCAATAGCCACCCTCCTTCCTGCCCTTGACTGTGGCTTCAGGACAGGAGCTCCTCTCCCCCAAGGACAAATCCTGATTGGTTAAAGGCTGAACCAATCATGATGCTCCCATCCCCAGGAACGGGCATGTGACCTGGTTCTGGCCAATGCCCAGTGAGAGGAAGTCTACTTGAAGGCTGGTGGGAGGGATTTTATTGGATCTTGTAGAGAACCAGGGGCAGCAATTCCCCTTTTCTGTCTCTGGATGCTGCGGTGGCCACCATCTTGCGCCGTGGGGGAAGTCAGCCTCAGAAGACAGCCTGCGGAGGCTGGGGAAGGGACACGCAGGCCCTGCACAGTTGGTGCTACTATTGAAACTGCTCTGTCTTTGGAATTCCTGCTACATAGGATAACACGCATCAGAGTTTTAAGCCATTTTGAATTGGATTATTCATTTTTTGCAGCCAGAAGCGTCCAAAGTGCTATTTTAGAGGCTGGTTTTCTCATCTAAACAGGGCGTGTCAATTAAGCATAGAATGGAGCAAGGAGCAGGGACACAGGAGGCAAGGAAGAACGTCCATTAAAAGGTTTTTAAAGGTGCAATGAACACTAAGGGAAAGAAGGAAGACCCAAGTGTATTAGTCTGTTTCTGTTACTTGTAACAAAATACCAGGAACTGCGTAGCTTATAAGAAAATGAAATTTATACGTTACAGTTTCTGAGGCCAGAAAGTCTGAAGTCCAGGGAACACATACACATCTGGTGAGAGTCTTGGTGGTGGCGACAGTGACCCCAGACCTGGGTATAGATGTATTTTATGGTTTGCATCTGCCAACAACAGTTGGAGAATTTTGGCTGCAAATATGGACAGTAAAGCCTGTATTACGGGGATATGCTGAACGTCACCCACAGGTGTAACCCAAGCCAAGACGTGTAGTCAGTGTGAAGCAGTATCTCCTACCAGGAGGACATACAGAGATAGGTGCCATTATATTGGAGTTAGAGAAAGTTGGCATTATTCGTCCAGCACATAGCCCACTTAATGCCCTGGTATGGCCAGTGAAAAAGCCTGATGGTACCTGGAGAATAACTGTGGATTATCGAGAACTGAACAAAGCAGTGCCTCCTTTGCACGTGGCTGTGCCTTCAGTTCATGATTTAATGGATCAGCTGACGACTCAGCTGGGAACTTATCATTATGTATTGGACCTGGCAAATGCTTTTTTCTCTCTTCCAATCTCGGCTGATAGCCAAGATCAATTTGCTTTCACCTAGGAGGGAAGGCGATGGACTTTTCAGGTATTGCCCCAGGGATGCCTGCATGGCCCAGCCATCTGTCACAGTTTAGTGGCTGGGGACCTGGCCGGGTGGAGGGGGCCCAACATGGTTACAATGTTTCATTACATAGATGATATCTTACTAACGTCTGATTCTCTTGCAGACTTAATGCAGGTGGCCCCGGCGCTGTTGGGTTGTTTGGAGCAATGTGGATGGACCGTGGGCACAACCGAGGTACAGGGACCTGGGCTGTCAGTCAAATTCTTGGGAGTTGTCTGGTTGGGTAAGACGCAAGTCATCCCAGAAGCTACTATAGACAAAATACAAGCATACCCTTGGCCCACAAGAGTAGCTCAGCTACAGACATATTTGGGACTTCTGAGGTATTGGACAGCTTTTGTGCCCCCATATGGCCCAAATGGCATGCCTGCTGTATGCATTAACAAAGAAAGGAGCCCCCTGGGATGGGACTGAGGAAGTAGAATGAGCTTACTGGGCTACAAAGAGAGGAATACAGGCAAGTGCGGGCTTTACGAGTGGCTGATCTCACTAAGCTTTTTGAACTAGACGTACGTATAACCCAAGAAGGGTCAGGATGGGGTTTGTGGCAGAGACTGGACCAATTCCGAACACCTTTGGTCCCAGCCCTGGAAGGGCGCTGAAATGCATTACTCCCTGGTAGAGAAACAGTTGGCAGTGTGTATTCTGCCCTGGTGGCCACTGAGGCTATAACAGGAGCTGCCAAGGTCCTAGTAAGGACAATGTAGCTCATACTGGGTTGGCTGCACATGTGGGCAACCGCCCCCAAAACAGGTGTAGCTCAAACTCCCACTCTGTCCAAATGGGGAGCATATACAGAACAAAAGAAAAACGATACCTACAAGCCCTCCATCAGATGAACTACAGACTGCGTCAGGACCAATAGAAATAGTGGAGGAGACCTTGACACAACCCCTACCCCTGGAGGTAGAGGTCACATCATTCCATAACAGACAGGGACCTATCGTGGAGCAAGCCTGGTGTACAGATGGCTCCATCACGGGCCCCTCAGCATCACGGACGGCCGTTGCTGTCCAGCCCTTAACAGATACCATATCATATGAAAATGGCACAGGGCAAAGTAGCCAATGGGCTGAGTTAAGAGAAGTATGGATGGTGATTAAAAATGAACCTGGGCCATTGACTATATGTGCAGACAGTTGGGCAGTATACAAGGGTCTTACCGTTTGGATATCTACCTGGAAATACCAATGGTGCATGGTAGGCCACCGACCCCTGTGGGGACAAGCCATGTGGCAAGAGTTATGGGAATGATTGAAAGGAACAATGGGCTTTTGAAAAGGGGACTGAGACTATACACCCACCCCCCATCCCTGAAGGTGTTTATGGCCAATGGTTTGAACCCTAAACGAGAAACCTTGTAAGCGCGGGCCGTCTCCAGTGGAGGATCTATTACGTGGGGTCACTGCAACTTACTACCAAGGATGACCTCCTGAAATCAGGATATGGTATCAATGGAAATATCCTCCTACCAGCTGCGACCTGTTTACAGCAAGGGCAGACAATACAGAGGGAATGGTCTTGGAAAATAAAAGCCCCCCATATAGGCTGGGTAGGCCTAATTGGGCCTTGGCGGAAAGGATTGGAAAAAGACTTGCAAGTCTCACCTTGGTTGACAAGTACATGGCCTCCTTGAGTAAAGGTAACATGGCCTGGAACAGATAAATGCTCTATTTTAAAGGGCACATTTGTACTAACTCTTTTGTCTTTTTGCCCATAGTCTTGTGGCTGCTAACACCGTAGTCGACTGGGCACATATGTTCATGTGGCCAATGCGTCTGCTTGCACCGAGTCTCCCACCAGTGTGGCTGCAGGATTCCCATGGAAAATCACCCCAATGATGACTGATATATATATACTGTATTGCTGCTGTGGCTTATGGATGTAAGGGTTGGCTATCCTCACTAAGGGAACATCACAGAAGACTCCAGATGCGTAGATTGTATGACAAGGGACCCTGAAGGGGTAGAGTGTGAGGGAAATAGAGACAGACGTGTCAGGCTCCCTCACCTCATAACTCAGCCTGTCTGTTGCAAATACATTAATTGCACAGGTGCACCCAGGTCTTCCTTGGCTATCTGACTTGCACCCATGTGTTCCTTAGTTATCTGACTCTAGCATAAAAGAGAACAGCTCTCATCCACTACGAGTCTGGGGGCTCAGTTCATGTCTGAATAAAGCATGTCAACCTTGCCAGCAGCTCCTAGGATCTTTTTCCAATTACCTAGCTCGAGACCTGCATATGAGTAATTTGTGACCCAGTCTGCATATGAGGGGTCTGTGACCCCGTCTGCACAGGACAGGTTTGAAGGGTCTGTGACCCAGCTTGACACTACCTCACAGGGTTGTTGTAAGGATTAAATAAATGAGTGAATCCAGTGACTATTTGAAGAAAGGTGTTTCACAGTATGACCCAGTACATCCCACAACTGACTGAAAAACAGGTGTGAGAAGACAACAATCATTGGTATGAAGAATGCACTCTGATGTTTTCTATACTGTTTCTTTTCATGTTTTAAATGCTGATCACAGCCTACTAAATGATTTTGCCACCCACGCATGGGTGTCACTCAATCTAAGCCATGAGTTAATATATGTGCTTAGATTGTCACTAGACTCACAGTAATGAGCACAATCCCCACGACCGTTCTCTGGTTCTTGTTTGTACACCTGGTGGGCTCTTTCTCTTCCTTCAAGGCTTAGCTCAGGCACCACCTTTTCCGGGAAGCCTTCCTTGCATGCTCTGGTTGTGCTGAAGTTCTTTTTCCTTATCACATTGCACTGAAATCGGAAATCAGCTCTGGATTGAGGTTCTCAGCACACACCACAAAATCAAACTGCCTGAGTTCAAATCCCAGATATGCCCTCTCTGACCATTAGGACTGGCCCTAAGGACCTCCCGGCCTCAGAGCCTTTCACTGAAAAATGTGGAAAGAGAATGATGGGCCACTTCAGGTACTTCCTCACTGGGCTCCCAGTTTCCACTCCTGCATCCTGAAAGTCAGTTTCTCACATGTTAGCCAGGAAGATTCGCTTCAAGCCTAAGCCGGCTCACAACCATCCTCTGCTCAGAGTCCTCTCATAGCTCCCATCTCACTCAGGCCCTGCATGATCCACCCCCGTGACCTCTCTGACTTCTCCCTCCTCTCTCGCCCGTCCCCTCCTCTCTCTGAGCACCTTGGCTCTCACCCACCTCAGGGCCTTAGCACTTGCTGTTCCCACTGCCTGGAACACTTCTTCCCCAGAATCCACGTGGCTCCTTCCTCACCTCCTTCAGGACTCTGCTCGAACGTCAACTCCTCAGAGATGGCCTCCTTGACTCCCCATCCAGGCCAACCCTGCAGCCCCCTTCCATTTTCTTCACAGCACTTACCACCACTATGTATTTATTCATCCATTTGTTGACTGTCTCTCCACTCAACTGTCAGGTCCATGAGGACAGGGACTGCACTGCTGAGCCCAATATCCTAGATTTGCTTCTTCCGGAAGCAGATTGAGAGGTGAGGACTCGAAGGCCAATAGTTTGCTTGGGAGGTGCACAGAACTGAGAAGTGGGAAAGTGAGGCAGAGAGGTCAGGGAAAAATAAGGCTGTGTTCTCAAGACAGTTGTCCCTGTGGGCAACTGGAACACAGACCCAAGGGAGAACTCAGGATTCCCGAGTTGTCCCACCTGAGGGTGAGGGAGCAGGGGTGTTTATATGCCCACCTGCCCTGGTCATTGTGGAGGGCTGCTCCCAGAGGTGCTCATTCCCCAGCACTTCTAGCCCACTGCCTCCCTGGGCAGAGTGGGCTCTGGTAGCCAGCAAAGTTCCCCAGGTGTTTTAGTCCATTTTGTGTGGCTCTAACAGAATTACCTGAGACTGGGTAATGTATAAAGCACAGAGGTTTATTTGGCTTACGATTCTGGGACAGCTGCATCTGGCATGGGCCTCAGGCTGCTTCTACTCGTGGCGGAAAGTAGCAGGCTGCTGTTGGGTACGAGCAGATCATATGGCAAGAGGAAGCAAGAGAGAGGAGGTGCCAGAGTCCTTTAAACAACCAGCTCTCGCAGGAACTAATAGAGCGAGAACTCACTCACTATCCCCCCTCCCCCAGGGAGAGCATTAACACATTCATGAGGGATCCGCCCCCATGACTCAATCAGTTTCCAACACTGCCACATTGGGGATCAAATTTCCACATGAGTTTTGGAGGGGACCACACATCCAAGCCCCCTCACCAGGCAATGGGATGCAGGTGCTGGCAGTTGCAAGTGGTAAGTGTGGGGAGTTAGAGTGGGTCACCAACAGTTTTGATACACCACGGTCTACAGCAGTCCTGGGTACAGACTGCGCACTCCAAACACACTTGTTGGTGAATGAATGAATGGATGGATGAATTCCTTCTTGGTGGGCAGAAGAAATACCCAGCCTCTCTGAGTGGTCTCTGCCCATGTGGCCTTGCTGCCTGTTCACAGACAGCCCCAACCCAGTGCCCCTGTTGACATTCCCAGAGGCTATCCACGGCATTATCCAGAGTGACCTCAACTACGTGGCGATCCTGCAACGGGCGGTGACAATGAACCCTGAGGCTGTGTTGAGCTGGGACCTCAATGGGGAGCCCTGTGGGACTGGGGAGAAGCCGTTCATCTGGCAGCTGTCCTGGGAGCATCTGGGCCAAGAACAGCGAGGAACAGCTGTTCTCTGAGCTTGTGACCGCCTTGCTGCCACATGAGTCCTCCATCGCTTCCAAGATCTCTGTACCTTCGCCGGTCTGTGGCAGTTTTCTTGGTTCCGTTGAGCCACCTTCTACAAGCAGTCCTGTCTTAGACCCTATAGCCAAAATGTCATTCCGTTCTTCCATCCACCTGGTGGGCTGTGGATTATTAGCCCATTTTCAGATGGGAGGCTGGAGCTCAAGGAGGTTAATTCTAATGAAGGCCCAGCTGAGGATCTGGACCAGGTTACCTGGGTCCCAGCTCCAGCCATTTGCTGGCTACGTGAACATGGGAAACTCCTTCAGCTCTCTGTCTCCACACACACCTGCAAAAAACGCAGATCATAGTATAAGGAGTGATTCAGAGCACGGGCTTTGGAATTTGAATTCTGGCTCCATCGCTTCCTGGCTGTGTGACTTTGGACCAATGCCTTGACTTCTCTATGCCTCAGATTCCTCATCTATAAAACTGGAGAAATGGGCCGGCCCGGTGGCGCACTGCTACAGTGCGCCGCTTGGGAGTGAGGCAGCGCTCCCACCGAGGGTTCGGATCCCACATACAGACCGGTTCCCGCTCACTGGCTGAGCGAGGTGCAGGCCCAACGCCGAGGGTTGTGATCCCGTTGCCGGTCCCGGTCCAGTACGGGTGTGACACTGAGGGTTGCAATCCATTGCCGGACACGAAAAAAGACAAAAAGGAAAAAAAAAAAAACTGGAGAAATAATGGAGCTCACCCCAAAGTGTAGTTGTGAGCATCCAATGAGATAAGCAGGTAAACAGCTTAAAATAATAGCACCTAGCACTACTGAACATGAGTGAGTGCTCAATAAACACGAGCTAGTCTCATTGCTACAATCAGCATTATCATTAGTGTTTACTTATTTTGTGACTGCTACCATATTCATTAGCGCATGTGAAGTCCTGGGCGCAATAACAAGAACAGCAGGTTGTTGGGATCAGAGAGGTGGTTTTGGAGCCAGTCAAACCTGGGTTTAATTCCTGCCTCCATGCCTTCCGGGATGGGTGTCTTAGGGCAAGTGGCTTCCCCTCTCTGAGCCTCAGTTTACTCCTGTGAATAGTGGGGGTGATCCTATATACCATTTGTAGTGGATTGAATTATGTCCCCCTGAAACTCACTGAAACTTGAATTATGTCTCCCAAGTTTTATGTATTAGAAACTTAGCCACAGGGCCGGCCCGTGGCTCACTTGGGAGAGTGCGGTGCTGATAACACCAAGGTCATGGGTTCGGATCTCTATATAGGGATGGCCGGTTAGCTCACTTGGGAGAGCGTGGTGCTGACGACACCATCAAGGGTTTAGATCCCCTTACCGGTCATCTTTTTAAAAAAATGGCACAAATAGCATTCCAGAGAGAGAGAACAGCATAAACAGACCTGGATGTGGGAGAAAGAGAGGTGAGCTTAGGAAATTGAGTGGGGTCCACTGGGACTGGGTTATAAAGGCGGGGGAGTGGAAGGAGATGAGGCTGGCCAGGTGGCAGTCCCTCAAAGTCCAAGGTGAGGGACTGGCTTCCTCCCCAGAGTACTGGGGAGCCACAGCAGGGTTCTGAGCATGGGGGAACAGGATCAAGTGTAAGATTTAGAAAGACCTTCTGGCTTCAATGTGATAGAGCAATGGGTGGGGGCTAGAATGGAAAAGGAGGCAGGGAGGAGGCAGGGGTGGAGACCCAGAGGGCGAGGAGAAGGAGATGGATTGAAGAGACATTCAGGAGGTAGGATGACGGGATTGGGATGTATGGAGAGAGGGAGAGTGGCTCCTCCAATCTCACCCTGCCTTGGTCACCCCTCCTTGGTCTCTAGGAGCCAACGTGGACCCCATGGATGCTGAGCCCCTCAAGCCAGACCCCACTTTCTCCCTGTCAGGAGGATCTGCCATCAGCCTCCTCATGGCCGGGATTCTGGGAGCCACAGCACTGATCGGAGGCATATGCTTCACCATCATCCAGAACCAAAGGTACCTCCTGTCCCTCACCCTGTCTACTCATCCCCCACAAAGCGCAGAGCTCACTGTGCATTGAGACAGAGACAAACCAACAGCCCCATTGGAGAGGGCGACAGTGAGCTCTGGGGAGCCCGTCTGGCTCATCAGTCCCCAAATTGACATCATGGACAATGAGACAGAAGAGGGCGCTGGGGCTGTGCTGCGCAGGTTCAAATCCCAGCTCTGTTACTCACTAGTAGTGAGACTGTGGGCAAGTCGCTTTCCTCTCTGTGCCTCAGTTTGTCCATCTGCAAAATGGGAACAATTAATAATAGCACACACCTCACGGGGTTGTTGTGAAAAAGAAATTAGCTAATATTTCCAAAGCGCTTAAAGCAGTGCCTGGGAAATGGCCCATGATATATTCGTTCCCTCTACACCTACCTACTGAGTGCCCACGCTGTGCCAGGCACTGAGGATACCGGGGGGTGAACAGCGGAGAGTCCCATCCTTGTGGAACTTTCGTCCTAGTCAGGGATACTGACACTAACCATGAGGAACAAGTAAAATAGCGACAGTACGTTGGATAAGGCCGAGTGCTAACGAGAGGAGTAAGGCCGGGAAGGGGGACGTGGCGGGAGGGGGCAGAGGGTGCCATTTAACCAAGTCAGGGAAGGGCTCCCTGAGAAAGTGACATTTGAGGGAAGGAAGGGCGGGGGACAGCCGCGTGGGCATGCGGGGAAGGGCGTACCTGGCAGAGGGAAGTGCAGCTGCAGAGGCCCTGAGGTGAGACTTGCCCAGAATGTTCTGGAAACAGCGAGGAGGCCAGTGTGGCCTGAGTGGTGTGAAAAATGGGAAGAGAACGGGAGGGTGGGGGAGGTGAGCCAGACAGTACAGGACCTTGCAGGCCATATAAGGACTTGGCTTTTGCTCTGAGTGAAACCAGAGCCAGGGAGGGTTCAGAGCAGAGGAGGGATGAGATCTGACTTAAATCCGACTGACATTTTATCCTATACGTGTTACTGATTAGTATAATACTACTAATATCTTACCACGTATTGAGCACCTGTGATGTGCTTCCTAAACATTATTCTTTTCAATTTCTACAAGAGCTGGTGGGGGGCGAGGGCAGAAGGATGAAGGTATCATTTTTGTCCAAGAGGAGACTAAGGCTCTGGGAGAGGTGGCCCTGCCTGACTCTTTGTTCGGGACCCTACCCTACGCCGCCGTTTTTGGTTGTTGTTTTTTTTTTTTTTTTTTTTCTATCATCAACTATCTAAGCCTTTGTAACTTGTGTACTGAGGAAGAGAAATCTGCAGGTTGGAACGGTGTGGAGAAGCCTTGTGGACCAGCCGAGAGACTGGGGCCCCGCTTTCAGGCCATGAGTTCTGGGTGGAACCATCTCCAGGAAGAGGAGGGCCAGGCTGCTGCCTGAACCACCCCCCTTACCCTCATCGGTGTGGCAGCGCTCATTTCCTGGGCCCTCGGTAAGTGCCCGAAGCGTGAAAGCCCCAGCTCTCAGGGATGGGTGCTGTTAACTGTTCTCTAACTAAAGCTCAGAAAAGTTCATCACTTGCCCAAGGGCACACAGCTAATGAACGGCTGAACCCGAACTGAACCCAGATCTAATTCCAAAGAGGGGAATGGTGAGAAATCAGGCTGATATGAAAATCCTCACCCAAACCACTCCAAGTCCCTACCCTCCTGAGCAGGCAAGAGGGGTCACTTACTGTTCCCCCCCCCCCACCTTCTTAGCAAGACCTATTTAGTTGCAGACAACAGACTCCCAGGACAGGCCAATGGTGATGTCAGCCAGAAGGAACCAGCTTTGTCCAATCAGCTGTGATCCTGGAGATGAGGCCTTGAGGTATACACATGCCTGCCTGGACCTTCCCAGTGGGGACGGGCAATTCTCAGAAAAGAGGGTGAGGGGCTGGGCAGGAACCCCAAACATGTCCACCGCACATACCAAAGGCCAAGAGAGATCCCGGTCCTTTGCAGTTAGGGGCATGGACCTGAAGCCAGGCTACTTGGGTTCACATCCCAGCTCTGCCAAACACTAGCTTGTGGAATTTAGGAGAGTCCTTTAACCTCTCTGTGCCCCATGTGAAAAACAGGGTTATGGTCATACCTACCTCAAAGGGTAAAAGTGAGGACTAAATAAAATGGTGGGAATAAAGTATTGTGAACAGTGCCAGGCACATGGTAAAGCTTCAATAAATGTCAGCCGTGTAATGATGATGATTGTATTAGTTTGCTCAGCCTGCGATAATAAAATGCCATAGACTGGGTGGCTTAAACAACAGAAATTTATTTTCTCAAAGTTCTGGAGACTGGGAAGTCTAAGATCAAGGTGTTGGCAGGTTTGGCTTCTACTAAAGCCTTTCTCTGTGGCTTGCAGATGATGGCTACCTTCTCACTGTGTCCTCGCATGAACTTTTCTCTGTGAGCATGCATCCCTGGTGTCTCTTCCTCTTCTTATAAGGACACAAGTCCTATTGGGTCAGGACTCCACCCTTATGACCTCATTGAATGTTTTTGTCTCTTTGAAGAATCTGTCTCCAAATACAGTCACATTGGGCACTAGGACTTCAACATATGAATTTGGACACAATTTAGTTCATGATGATGATGGTGATGATGTCTATCTCCTTCTCTTTGCTGCAGCACTGACAGACAGAGAATACGAATAAACAGCTAAAGTGTGGGCACCTGTACTGTCAGCCTACGAGGTCAGAAGGGAATCCTGGGTCTGGTGACAGGATAAGGTTCCTGGGCAGGAGGTTTCCACAGGAAAACCCCTCCTTCTCCTTTTCGGTTTCCCAATCATCTGTCTGTGGGACATTTCCATCTTGCAGAAAAGCCCCACTGACTGCTTTTTCCTCCTCTTGCCAGCTGCCAACGCTCCATCTGCCCAGCTCTCCAAATCCCTGGAAGCCACCTAAACAAGAAGTGTATAATTCTTAAACCTCGTGGGCTACAAGCAAAAGAAACTCACTGAAGTAGCTCAAGAAAAAAACAAAAGGAAGAATTTACTATAAAGATCCAGGAAGATTTCCAGCAATTCAAGACTGTTATCAGTCAGCACTTGCTGTGTAATAAACTACTCCCCAAAACTTTGCAGCTTGAAAAAACAGCCATTTATTTAACTTACAATTAGGTGGGATATCAATTTGGGCAGGGCTCAGGTAGGCAGTTCTTCTGGTCTCTGCTGGGCTGACTCTTGCATCGGAGGTCAGTCGGCAGGTTGCCTAGGGCTGTCCGGCTAGGATAGCCTCAGCTGGGATGACTGAACTCTCCCTCCATGTCATCTCTCATCCTCCAGCAGGGTGACCCAAGCTCGTTCACATGCCAGAGCCAGGAGTGAGAGGAGAAGCTGCAAGGCCCCTTGAGGTCCGAGCTCAGAAATGGCACACCATCTGGGCTGGCCTGGTGGCGCACTGCTGTGGTGCGCCGCTTGCAAGCATGGCAGCGCTCCCGCCGAGGGTTCGGATCCCACATACAGACCGGTTCCCACTCACTGGCTGAGCGAGGTGCGGGAGCAGCACCGAGGGTTGCGATCCCGTTGCCAGTCCCGGTCTGGTACGGGCGCGACACTGAGGGTTGCGATCCATTGCCAGACACGAAAAAAGACAAAAAGGAAAGAAAAAAAAAAAAAAGAAATGGCACACCATCACTTCCACCACACTCTATTGGCCAAAGCAAGTCACATGGCCACCCCAGATTCAAGGGGTGGGGAAATCGACTCCACCTCTTGCTGGGAGGGGGAGAATCTGTGGCCATTCTTGCCATCCACCACCAAAGGCGGGACTGCGTGGCTGCATCTCTCAGCCTCCCACCCCCTACCACTGCAATCCTCTTGCCAGGCACATGGAATTCACAGTTCTCTCTTTTTTCTCTCCCTGCAGATACGTACTCAATGCTTTTCTGTCCATGTAGAGAAAGATACCATCTCATAGCTTCCAAGTTCACACCACCTTAGTTCAAGGGAACAGTCCAATTAGCTAGACTCCTATACCCTGTCTCTGACACCCCTGAAGAAAGCATCTGATTGGCTCAATTGGGTCATATGCCATCCTTGGTCCCATCTCTGTGGCCAGTGTGGGGACAGGGACACATTGTGCAAGCAGAGCTCCAGGGGCTCAACCCTATCCGTGTGGGCTCAGTGCTTAGAAAACAGGGGGGAGATTTTGCCTTGTCAGCTGGGCAGTCCCCAAAATATGTTTTCTATACATGCAGTTTATTTTTACTCCTTTTCAAAAAGGAAAAAAAAAAAAAACTTCCAAATGCACAGACGGTGAGGTCATTACAACACCCAAAAATCCGTGGCACATTTGTAAATAAGATGGACCGTTCAGTTTTGAGCTGTTCAAGTTAAATACCCCTTCACTGGAGAATCCTGAAAGATGTCAGGCACACGGGCTATGAGTATAGATGAAACTCCTCTGTGGATATTTCTAACACTTGAGGAACATCCGGTGCTTCTAGGGCCAGCACGAAGCCACCTATCACAGCACTATGATTGGCTATAATAGTAGTAGACCTAAGTTCAAATCTTGTCTGTTAAGGACTCTCCATGTGCCAGCCACTGACTTTGTATTTTATGTGATTCATGTGTCATGTCACCCTCTCTGCACCCATTGAGGAAGGGATAATGCACCCATATTTTACAAACAGGTGAGGCTCAGAGAGCAATTAAGTGACTTTCCCAGGGTCTCTCAGGTAGATCATACCACTACGGTCTCCAAGCCAGGCCACCCGGCTCTGAAATCCCTGTTCCCGATCATCCCACTGCCTTGTTGTTCCCTCCCTGCAACCAGAGCTCGCTTCCTCTTCTCTATGTCAGGGAGATGTCATTGTGCTCAGGTACATGGGATACAAGTGAAGCTCAGAGAGGGAAAGTGACTTGCCCAAGATCACACAGCCACAAATGATGCCAACTCAAGGTTGCTCAATTCCAAAGCTCATGCCCTAGACCAGCGCTGTTTAGTAGAACTCTCTACACTGATGGAAATGGTGCATATCTGCACTGTCTAACACAACACTTCCAAGATGTGTGGCTACTGAGCACTTGGAATGTGGATAGTGCAACTGAGGATCTGAATTTTTAATTTTATGTATTTTTAATTAATTTTTATTTTAATTTATATACCCATCTGTGGCTAGTGGCTATTGTTTAGGCAGCACGGCTCCAAATCCTAATTGTTAAAATAATTAATCCCCCAGGAACCATACATGTAGATCGCTGATCCTGTGGCTATTTGGACAGGCCTTGTCCTGGTCTGTCCAAAATCCCAGACTCACTTGGAAGCCCCCGATATCTAACCAGTTCCTTTTCTATCCAGAGTCCTGCTGTACCCCTTCCCTATTCCCACTTCCTTCCATTGTCAAAGAAGTTATTTCCTGCCTGGAAGGTGACAGGGAGGGAGCCGATTTCTGTAGCTTCAAGCCTGGCTGTGTCTCAGAGGTGACACTGCAGCCACCACCTTGGCCACTAGCCAGCATCCAGTCATCCTCTGGACGAAGCCACAACAGTACCTGCTGCCCTTTGAAACAGTTGAGAATCATTGTGATGTTCCCTTCTCCCCCCAAAAAAACCATGCAAATTTCCATAAAGAGACCTCCTGACCACCCTTATTATAAATGCAGTCCCCTGGTTAAACTCTCTCATAGCATGTTCTCCTTCATACCACTTACCACGTTATGTCATTAAATATTTGTGTTACTATTTCACATTTATCTCATCCACTAGACTGTCAGCTCCATGACCTGTATCTGCATACAGTAGGTGCTCAATAAATATTTGTTGAATAAATGAATGAGAGACTATAACCACATCACCAGGAAAACTCAAAGGCTCAAATGTGGAAGCATTGACTGAGTCACAGACCCTTCTCCAAGAGGGAATTTGACAGGAATAACCTGACCCAAATTCCTCTCACTCTCTCAGTTAAAAAAACAGGGTCAAGTATCCTGAGCTTCTGCCCTAACCTCAAGTGGAAGGAAAATGATCATTTCACTGCTGCAGAACAGCGCAAGCCGGTCTGCAGCTGTGGTAGAGATTACCCTCCGGGCCCCAATATTCATTCTGACCTCCTTTAATGTGGTATCAGAATCCTCAGTTTTTGACCGGGCACATGGTGTCCACGGTGGCGGGGGGACTACCTTTTCCAGTTTCCCCTGACACTGGGCATGGTCGTGTGACTACATTCTAGTCAATAAGAAGTGAGAAGTGTTATGTGTGACTTTTGGAACATGTCCTTAAATGGAGGGGGCACGCTTTCTTTCTTCCTATGGCAGGAATGGGAATGTGATCGCTGGAACTGAGCAGCCCTAATGGATCATGAGGTGAGTGTCTCGTAGAGGAGGACAGAGTGCCAAGTCAGAGGTGTGCTGAACTCAGCTTGTGCCAGCTCATGCGAGATGACTGTGCACATCTCTCCCCAACTCCACATTTAATAATGACACACTGGTAGCTTGAAATCAACCGTGGTGATGGCATTTACACCATGGAAATTGGAAAACACTACAAATCAAGGTTATTTTTTCAGAGAGCAAATTTTCTAACACACCACTGAAAAATAGATGCCTGGAGACTCCACAAAGCCACCCCAGTAGACCTATCCTAAATACCTCTGAATTTCTTTTTCTTTCTTTTTTTTTTTTAACTGTGAATATAAGGCCACAATATTTATTTATTTTTAAAGATGACCGGTAAGAGGATCTTAACCCTTGACTTGGTATTGTCAGCACCACGCTCACCCAGTGAGCTAACCGGCCATCTCTATATAGGGATCCAAACCTGTGGCCTTGGTGTTATCAGCACCACACTCTCCCAAGTGAGCC